AGGAATGCCAGCAGAGAGCCCAAGCACTACTCAAGACACTTTCCTATTTTTCAAGAACTCAATTTTTCTTTTATTTCAACTACAACACTGTAAAATATCATGGCCTTCCCTCTGCCTCTGCTCACATCCAGCAAGGCATAAATAGATGTTTCCATGTGTATTTCTTACCAAAAAAGCTTCATTAAATTCAAAGAGGCAAGGAAATTGCTTCAGAAGCTGATGAACAGCATCCAACCACTGGAGAAAAACTGGGCACTGCTCATTCTGATCTTCCACCTTCTCCTGATGACCACAGCGATCACCAAACTTGTGACCAAAATCCAGCCAGTCTGATTCAACAAGCACCTGGAAGCCCTGTGAATAAAAAAAAAAAACAACAAAAAAAACCCAAACCCAAACCAAAATAACTACAGACACTTTGCTGTAGTCATGTAGCAGGAAAAGGCAAGCCCCATCTGCCAGCAGTGCCAGGCAAAGTCAGGACTTCTGAAGGGCTGGAAAGGAGGCTGCACTGGTGCTTGGTCTGGGAACAAAGCTACCTGAATGTCAGAGGTTTCCAAAGACAAATGAACAGCTGATATTTCTATACAATTAACAGCTTGGAGAATATGCACAATTAAGAGCAGGGAAGCAGCTGAACCTTGAACACAAGAGGTTATTTACCACAGTACTTCACCAAGCTGGGCAGAGGAGTGAGGTACAGTTGACCGAAAACAGGCAGGAAGAGAACATGGAAAAACCCAACCACAACAGTAGCTCTGAAATGCCACTAAGCATATTGCCAAATGCGATCCTTCTCCTTTCTCCGGAGACTCCGAGACAAAAGCTGCCTTTTAACAGACACAAAATAGCAGCATAGCACAACTCATACCTCCATGGTCCTGTAGTAAGGGTCCAGAAGAATCTTTGCCAGTGCTACAATCTGCGGAGTCCTGTCCCAGCCATCTGAGCAATGAACCAGTACTGGACGCCCTTCTCTGTCAACCGCACTGGAGACCAGCACTGCTGCCTTCAGCATGACAGAAAGGTGCTGCAGCCACTTGGTACTCTCTAGGGCTGAAAGCCAGCTAGAAGGTGTGCAAAAAGCAAGAAAATGGTTGCTTAGCCCTCCAGTGGTGGGGGGAAAAAAACAAAACAAAACCAAAATATTTAAGCTAAGTCTTTTTGGAGTCCTCAATGAAAATCAGTCTTTTCTAAAACATGTTCAAGAGGAGCCAGCCAGCCTGGGAATAAATGCAAAGAATCCAACCCCTAACACGTGACACTGAGGCAGTGCTGCAATCACGTCTGGATTACCAGGGATCAAAAGAAGCAGCATTCAAGCACTGTGAGCACTTTCCTATCCCTCCATTTTCTGAGGTAGAAACCTGGGATAGGAAAAAGGAAAAGGGAGGGAAAGACTCCCAGGACATTGACAGATAGGCAAACTCAGCTAGAGAACAGTCACTTACTTGCTGGGGTCTGGCACCTGACTGCATACAGCACGCAGATACTGGAAACTGTTCCGGATGGAGTGGATGTTGGCCATTCCCATGAACACAACTTCACAGTTTGGGTAATACTCTGAACACAACAGAAACAGAAACATTCAGAGAGCTGCTGCCACTGCAGCAGCTGTGTCCATACACTTAGTTTAGCTGTCCCCTCACAGCACCATTTCTGGTCACCAGGTAGGCAGTTTTTCTACAAAAACCTTGCAGGCCAGCACCAGTATTTCTGGAATAATGGACTTTGCAGGAGCAAGAAGGCAAACGTTCTTCCAGAGACACAGCACCAAAATGCTGACCTGACCCCAAGCTGTGCTCTAGGACCCACTTAACAAAGCAAGTCCAAGAGGAAGATGTTCTGGGATGTGCTTAGCTCTTTATACCTTCACATTCGCAGCCACCTCCCTTTGCTCTGTTGGCCACAGCTGCAGTGTAGGACCTGGCATCAAGAATCAGCAGTTTCTGAGGAGTTCCTGTATTCTCCACACCTGAACACGCAGTCAGGGACGAGTCTGCAGAGACAGCATGGACTGAGTTCCCAGCACCTCCCTCCCTCCTATGACAGGCCTCCAGTGTCACCCAACACTGGCCATGAATGAGCCTAGAGACCTGTCCCACACATTGCAGGCAAGGCATGACAGGGCCCAGATGATCCATCTGGATATCAGGTTTAAACCTTGCATTGTAACAGCCCTGTTAGCAGGAACAGCAACACTTAGGTGTAGGAAGCACTGAATAATTCACACGTTTAAGACAGAGTGGAGGGAAGTAAGCTGTCTCACCAAAGTCAGCATCGCAGGCCTCACTGCCGTCGCTGCTCCCATTATGTGGCATGCCACCGGATACCTTTACTCCAGGGTTCAAGGCACAGGCTTTGGCAATAGATGTCACAAGATACTCGTCGTCAGCATTTCGCCAGCCCCACCAGCTGATTTCAGGCTGGCTGCAGCGTGCAATCACCGCACCATTGCGCACATGTCTGCAAAGGAACCAAGAGCCGAATGAAGCACCCTGGAGAGGTGAGGAACAAGCCCAGCAAATTTCACCTACGTACTGTCAGCACCTGTGCAGCCCTCCTCACTGCTTTTATTCTGCATTTACTCTTGCATTCAAGCAGTGAAACAGCGCAGGGCATTTCAAATAACCATTATTCATAACAAAAGCAGTGACACAGAGGCTGTCACTCGCATCACAGCGGTGAAGAACCAAAGATGGCTGTGAGTAGCACAGGAGCAGCTAATGAAGCTGGAACAGCTATCAAAATGAGATTGCAGAGGAGCAGGTCACTGCAGTGCTTGCAGGAGTGGCTGTTGGGACCAGCCAGTGCCAGTGGATGGTGGCAGCTCTGGAGTCAGCTGCAGCTCACAGGGCCTCACCTCGAGGATCGATGGCTGCGCCCTGGGACTCAACTACCACTGCAACGAATGGGTAGTTTCTGCA